GGACAGATTAAAAGGTTCAAGATGATGAATGTAGGTACCGTCTTGATAGAATTTTACTAACGTGTCCCTTGGATTATTAATAGGATGTAAAGTGATTTTAAATTAGATAGAGATATATATATTTAATCGTAACTTGTAACATACCAATATTTTATGTGACTTACTTACCGCACAGTACCAAATATTTTCAACCAAGTCATTCGCGTCCAATGAAGTTCGAGTTGCTTCTTTCTCAACTAAGTCATAAACACGTTTCCAAACACCATGACTTTTAAACCAAAATCTGCGATTCTCCTCGAATACTTCTCTCATTCCCTCTTTATTTTCCCAACGTTTTAAAGCCTTTTGACTCTAAGATTTTATTATAACGTGAAACTCTTGCGAAACTAAGTAAATCTGGTTCGTCAAGTTCATGAAAAACTGAATGAACTAGTTCGAAAGGGAGTCATGTAAATTCCAACATTAATGAAGATGGAAGAAAAGTAAACTAAATTAAGGTCTAATTATAATCGACGCGAGTAACGACGCACATTTCTTCATTTATAGTTAACTACATATGATTTCATGTGAAACTTAAGTTATGAAAACAAAGAACTTCTAAAAACATATAAGACTCAAGGTTGTAACAATACGTGTAACTAAGACACTTACCTGGTGACTAACCGAGCATTTTTTTTATATGAAACATTTTCGCATGAAACAAAATAATCACAATAGTTATTATAATGTTAAAACCAAATATATTCATCGTAATAAGATATTCAACCAAAAAAAGAAAACAAATGCAATTTATAAAAAATTGAATCAAAAAAATCTTAAAATTTTGTAATAATATATTATCGTTAAAATAGAATTGTATGAATATATATATTGTTGTTCTGTAGTTTAGAATGTTTAGAACGTTAGAATGTTTAGAATGTTCAAAATGTTTAGAATAGAGAGATGAGTTCGGCCAGAGTTGAGAATTTTGGCACGAACGAACGCTAATTAATTTTTATAAATATAGTATGAGGTATGGTAATGGCCATATAGACGACCCGGGTATGTTACATTCCACCAATTAAAAAACTTGAATTATACCCGGGGGTATATTGTTCGGAGAGGGGGTATAGTAATGGGTGGATTTCTTCTTGTTAAATATAAATTACTAATAAAAAACACCGGGTCTCTTACATTCCACTAAATTTTTAACCCTGGTTTAGACCCGGGTATATTAGTGGGGGGTCTACTATCAAGGGGGTCTTTTATATGGCCATTTACGGTATGTAAATCATACAGTAGATTATCAATCAACCAACGATTAATAGATTATCAATTGACACATTAAATAGACTATCAATTGACTAACCAAAGCATTCGCTGACTATTCTTGTTCGTACCGTAAATTGCCGCATAAACCACCCTGCGTGACAAATAATGCAGATCAATTTTTTAAAATATATATGCGACATGTGGATTTTGGGTCAAAATCCCGAACAGATTATCGAAAGAACATAACATCGACTAAATTGGCCAGCATTATAGCTAGTGCCGGCTAACTTTGTCGGTATTATGTTCTTTCGGGGATCCGTTTTTCGGGATTTTGACCCAAATTCCGACATGTGATATAAACAATTGTGTAATACATGTGATTTTTAATTTTTCACTATGTGAAAAATCGCATCACACCGGGAGGTTTATGCGGCAATTTACGGTAATAACAATCCGAATATTAATTGATAATTCAAATTATCGTGGTTTTAATCCGAATATCTGAATAAACCAGTATAGAAAGCTCAGATGATGTTTGACGATCTTTAAATAATATGCATGTACAATAAATCTATTATCGTTCCTTTCGAATTTGACCAATCAAATGAATAAACTCGATCTTTTCCCCACACTTTCTATTGGTTGAGATTATTCGAATTCGTTTATGTTTATCTCGGTTAGAGGAGTTTTGTTAATGTGGGGGAGACCAGTATTGTATATGGGGTAGGAACATTGTGTCCGTGGACTTTTTATCCCTAGATTCATAATTTGATTGGATGATGATTGAGAGAATAAACATAAATATTTTTTTAAACAGTGGATTAGGATATTTGTTTAACGTTTAACCATGATTGACTACAATATTTTTCATTTATATCGATATGATATCAGTTAACTTTATAAGCGATTGAATTGTTAATCATACGGGCAAAATAAAATATGCATATACAGTAGATAACGATCGCTATGATAAGATTTCATATGATAAATTTCATATTGATATCATTGATTTAATGTCATAGTAACTACAGAACTGTGTAATGATGCATCTCTCTTAGTTGTGTCGAGTATAACGATATTATTGTATTTACTATACAGATGTTGATTTACTGAAGGCTATCTAAATCCCGTACTACCTTTTTTAATACTTCTAAATACTCTATATTTATCTTCTTTTTTTATTCGTGTTAATTTTAACTTTTTTTTAAAAAAATACATTATATTATATATATATATAAAATAACAATAAAAAATCGATTTGTTAATTCCTGAATTAAATAATGTTATCGTTATTTATTTATAACGTAAGTTACATACGCCAGTTTTGCAGTTACAGGGTTAATTTGATTATCGTATGCAGGTCTTGTTAGAAATTATTATTTCGATGTATCACCATCGCTTTGAATTGAACGATTAAACAAATTATATATGCGGTTATATGCATCTATATTTGATTGACATTATGCTTCCCAAACCTACGAATTTGTTTTCTTGGAGTTAAAATTGCAGGATATTAAAAAATTGCGGGAACAATGTCCATATGTACAACATTGGTCATGGCGTTACCACCCTAAAAATTCCGTTGACCAATCATAAGCCGCCTTCTGCGCACTAACAAAAAGTTTTCTTGTTAATTTTTGGAATAGCAATGCATTTTTTAATACTGTAATATTATCTAATAACAAACTAACTATAACCTATAGTTTGAACCCAGTTTTTATTTTTTATACAGATGTTAAATCCGATTTTAACATATGAAATGAAACCAGTCCAATAATTTAATGGCGATTTTTTTCTTAGGTCACAATAAAATTTCAATATCACACAATATATTATGACACTGACAATACTAATAATGATAACGATAGCTCACAAAAATCAATAAACACAAGAATATTGATACTAAACGACAAGAGAGACTCCCGATTTCCTATTTCACCCTTTCCCACGATATTTATTTATTGCTATGTTCAAATTTCCGTAAATAAACCTGAAAAGCAAATTAAAGTATAATAACACGAAAGACCTTTAATTCATGTGTGTCAATCATTCATCAAAAAAGTTTCTTTTTTGATGCATCTTTGTAACTCTAGTAGAAAGCAAATCAAAAATATAACTTTGAAATTTTTTGTCTATCTGCACGTGTGTTGCATAAATTCACAAAAGCCAACAAAAAAAACTATCATATCATAAAACAGTGTTGTTGATACCTTCTAAAACTGTAAAACAGTAAGAGTTACAATTGTGCAATAAACTTCAACTTCAATATTCATACTAGGTGCTTCTCTTTAAATTTGTCAGTTATTATTTTTGCACTGTAATGCTCTAAATCTTCAGGCACTACAAACAGGTACAAGATCAAGTTAGCTGGAACTTTTTTAACCCTATAAGAAAAATGTACTGTAATTGTATGGGTTGGCTCGGAATGGCACGGGTTGCGGTGGCACGGATTTTTGGCTCGTGTCGGTCCGTATACCAGTGCCAATTGGACCGTTAATGACTCGGGTTTTGCAAC